CTGGGGGCAGGCCTAGTGGGGGTTATTGCGGGCCACTCCAACTAGGCTGCAGCTCCAGGTGGTGTATCTGAGGGCCAAGTGTGTGGCGCGCAGAGTCAGGCTGGGCTGTAGCACCCAATTGGCTTACGCAACAGATGGGGCTGGAGACAGAACTGACCCAGTAATTGCAACTATCAATGTGTGCATAGGTTGATGTGGGTGATGGACTGAGCCAGACTCCTTACAGGCAGGCACACACAAGTCAGGTCTGGGATCACTTCAAATATGGTTTCTTTGAGGATTTCACCAAACGAACTACTGTTCTCAGAACTCCAACCACGGGGAGACTCGCAGGATCTGTGGCCTGAGGAGCACATGTTTAGCTGGGCCTCCTCATCGGCTTAGACAGAGCAGTGATGGTACATGCAGATGCCCATGGAGGACACGGTAGTCCATTGGAGCCTGTAGACAACGCCTGGTATTATAGCAGAGGAAGCAGGGCAGAACAAACTGATCAGACAGCCCAGCCAAACACTGGCAGCAGATATCTGGGCGAATGGTAAATCGGACTGTCAGCCAATGGACCTTTGAAGGATTTCCTCATCCTGGAATGGTGAGACGGACAGTATCTCAGAACTATTGAAACCACTTAGCAGAACCCTCAGAGCGTGCTCCACACCAGGGACCCTGGAATGACATCAGGAGGCGGCCTCCCGTCCCCAGGCACTGAGGCGGCTCGGGGGGCCAGCTGTGGCTTCTCCCTATCTCCCCCCTCCCCCAGATACAGGAAGAAGAAAAAGAAAACGTGAAAACAATGGTCTTACCCACTTTCCCCTTCACCCTTCCAACCCTAATCTCTTATGTAAACATCCTAAAAAATAAAATTGAAAAAGTAAAATATGTAGCAAATCACAGGGTTTGGTTACCATATACTTCCTGATAAACCCATTTTATTTGATTTTTAAAGATTTAGTTATTTTTATTGGATAGTCAGATATATAGAGAAAGGAGGAGAGACGGAGAGGAAGACCTTCCGTCTGCTCTTTTATTCTCCAGGTGGCTGCAATCGCTGCAGCTGAGCTGATCTGAAGCTAGGAGCCAGGAGCTTCTTCTGGGTTTCCCACAGGCATATAGGGTCCCAAGGCTTTGGGCCGTCCTCGACTGCTTTTCCAGGACACAAGCAGGGAGCTGGATGGGAAGCGGAGTTGCCAGGATCAGAACAGCAGGGCCTGTATGGGATCCCGGCACGTGCAAAGCGAGGACTTTAGCCACCAGACTACTGCGCCTGGCCCAACAAATCCATTTTAAACACTGGCTCCCTAAAGAATCATTGCATCAGCACCTTAGTTTGTTTTCAACCACCTTATGCTTTTAAATAATACATTTCACTGGAAAGTTTAGAGGTATGCAAGCTGTAGAAACAGGTCTCCTGTCAAATATGCATGCATTGGAGACGGAGAGGCACTTTTAGAAGCCACACGTTTTCTGAAACTGAATTCAGGTAAGCAAATTCCTACTGGCCAGTGAAAGACACAGGGAATGGAGAAATGAGGGCCAGAAATGGTACAAGCATCCATGTGTTAGCGTGCTGTGACATCACACGTTGGGCAGGGCGGTGGTCCAGCCAGGGCCCACTCTCTGGTTCACCGGTGGGGCCTCCGAGCTGCAGTTCACAGGTAGAACAAGGCAGCGCCCCCAAACCTCCTCCATAATCCCCAGGGGCCCCATCTTTAACACCATCACTGTGGGGGTGATTTCAGCATATGAGGCTGGACGGGGGAACTCAGACATCCACCTGCAGCACCAGGTGCAGCCAAGCAGGGAAGCAAGAGGGGCGGCCGAAGCTTGCTGTCCTCTTTCCTTAAGTTACACTCAGAGTGGAGTGCCATGCAGGCAGCAGAATGGTTTTAGGTTTTCTCCTCCATTTTCAGGTTCACAGTATATTAAGATATTCACAATATACTAAATTGAGGACAGAACAGGCATGGTATATTTCCATTTTTCTTTAAAGCAAGACACATACATATTGGTAAGAACAGTTTGAAAGCACCAATACCACGATGTGTGGCATCACCAGGAGGTTAGCAGGCGCTGGGTCTCAGAGTATCAAGTTCTCTTTTCTCTGTGGTCTAAATGTTTTCTGATGAGCACTATTTCAAATAAGAAAATTCAGAAATGCTGTGGAAATTACAATATTTAAATCACTGAAAAATCGGATTCCTTTTATCACCTACTGGGAACCTCTTTCTTGTAAAAAGACAAAACACTAGTTGGCATTCTACACACACTGTGGAGTATTATGAACAATTAAGGTCCAGTTTTGCTGTATGTGCATATATGTATTTAAAGATCTAGTTTATGTGGGCCCAGTATGGTAGACTAGCAGCTAAAGTCCTCCCCTTGAATGTGCCGGGATCCCTTATGGGCACCGGTTCTAATCCTGGCAACTCCACTTTCCATCCAACTCCCTGCCTATGACCTGGGAAAGCAGCTGAGGACGACCCAAAGCCTTGGGACCCTGCACCCACGTGGGAGACCTGGAAGAGCTCCTGGCTTCATACAGAAGATCTCTCTCTCCTCCTCTCTGTATATCTGACTTTCCAATTAAAAGAAATATCTACCTGACGTGTCTGAAAGGGGAAAAGAAAAGGCAATGAGAGAAGAGTTAGTGGGGAGAAGGGCGGGGATTTTCCAACCAGCGGCTCACTCCCCAAATGGTACAGCAGCTTGCGGCTGGGGCAGGAAAAACCAGGAGCAAGGATTCCCAGGCGGGTCTCCCACGCTGGTGCCTCCTCAGGTGCCATCAGCAAGGAGATGGGCTGGAAGAGCGGAGCAGCCAGGACCCCAACCAGTGCACACGCTGGTTGCCGGTCACACCACAATGTCAGGTCTACTTATTTTGAAATTTCCCTGTAAACTGAATCATTAAGAAAAATTATATTTCATTTAGCTACTTAAGTTCTACGCTTGAATCCTTAATGTAAAAAAAAAAATCTATTCCTTAGTTTGTCTTGTGAAACACCTAGATTTTTTTTTTTTTTTTTGCCTAAAGTGAGGTTTATCTTACTCAATTCTGAGGGCGCAAAAAAGGCTCTCCACTCAGGGAGGCGAGGGGCCTGCCCTTCAACGGCACACCTCACGCAGCCGGAGTTTTACTGCTGTGTTTTTGAGATGTACTAGTAAGTGAACCGTCTGCAGGAATCTCCATGATGAACTGTTTCTGAAGCAGTAACTGGCAACAGCCATGGCAGACAGAAACACTTTATTTACGCTCAAGCTTTGTCAAACAGGTCGCTCAGAAGCATACACAGGAGCAAAAATAACCCCCACAGCCAAGCCTGAATTGGCAAACATTTTCCCCCAGAAAACAGCACACACTTGAACAACTGTCAACTCAAACACTCCCGATGGTCTGTACTTATTTCCTCCTTTGAGGAGCAACAACAGGTACCCGCTGCTTAATTGCACAGCATCTTACTCCTCGTTTTATTCACAGAAGTAATGCCTACAGAATAAATCATACACCAATCAGAAATCTCAAAAAGTTTGTTTTCATGGCAGATTCTGCTATGTATAACACAACACAACCGACACCCGACAAAAGGCAAAACCCAAACCAGGAAGGCTGTCTGAAGGCAAACATAAACGGCAACTCCTTATTTTAGATAAGTTTAATCAAATGAATAATATACTCATCTGATCGTAGCTTCTATCTCTTACAATATAAAAAAGTGCACAGGTTACATTTAATCAAAAATAATGAAAATCTCACCAAGCAACAACAGTTTAGGTACAGAGCAGCAGGAGGAAGCCAACGCACGCCGCTACCCGAGACACAGGGCTAGGTGCGAGTCCCGGAGCTCAGAAGCCTCTTCCAGCAGGACTGCCAGCGCAGACCTGCCACCTGAGCCATGCTGCAAGGGTCCCCTGCGCCTTAAGATGAAAGCCATTGACCCAAAACCCGTTCTCAGCTGGACTTCTGGTCAACCAACCACATCGGGTCCCTCGATCAACCCACCGTGGGAGTGGGGCTCCGTGACGCTGGGGATCGACACGCTGCACACTCCACAGTGGACGAGTGGTGCCCCGTGGCAGAGCACGGGCCCCAGGGATTTCGGGGGACCATCCGAGGTCGCCACCCTCAGACCCACAGACCACAGGGCTGCGGGGCTACTGGCCTCTGAAGAAGCTCCAAACTACACTCTGCAGGCAGACCCGGGGTGCGGGCAGGTGTCATCTTTCCGGTCCTGCTTGACACGCTGCCCAGGGGAGCACGTAGACCGTGACATCACGCATTGGCTGCCAGCACTGGGGGTCCCCGGACGAGGCTACCCCACTCTAACACCGAGAAAGCCGATTCCAGAACGTTTCCCAGCTGCCGGTGTAGTCCTAATTTACTGCTGAGGAGCAAAACACAACTCCACTTCGGATACAACTGTGCGTGCGTACACAGGCGTGTTCCCTTCCCTGGGTGATGGAGACAGGTCAGCTTTGACTTATTTATAACCTTTAACTATTTGATAGTAACATTTTTACAATGATAAATTATGAAATAAAGCTATTTCCATTTTTGATGGAAAAAGAAAATATGTTCTATTAATTCTGAGGGCAGTTCCAATCAGTCTCCCAAACGGTCTGGAAGACTGTCTGAAGATCAGAAGCTGAAGGCAGCTGTGAGCCCGCACGGCCGGGGAGCACGGCTCCGGTAACACGCCCGGTCAGCCACGGCCCCGGAAGGAGCCACCTCGCGATTCCCAACCCCACGCAACACACAGAAAAAAGCAAGGGGTGTACTCGGATGCTGCATTCGTAGACATATGATTTTCTTTGTTTTTAATTTATTTATTCTTATTGGAAAGTCAGATATACAAAGAGGAGAGACTGAGCTGAGCCAATCTGAGGCAAGGAGTCAGAAGCTCTTCTTGGTCTACCGTGAGGCTCTGGGCCGTCCTGGATTGTTTTCACAAGCCACAGGCACGGAGCTGGTTGGGAAAGTGGAGTGCCAGGACATGAACCAGTGCCCACATGCGATGCTGGCGTGTTCAAGGTGAGGACTTTAGCTGCTAGGCTACTGCAGCGGGCCCAGACATATAGTTTTCAAAATCATTATGATGTTCAAAATCACCCTTCCCTTATCACAGCTGCATGTCATTTTCCACTGTTTCACCAAAATTTGGTACATTTTGGAGAAAAGCTTAAAATGAGTAGTGCAGTTCAAATCGTTAAGTTTGAAAAAGATCAGTCAATGAGAAACAGAAAAATGGACACAAGAGAGACTGCAGAGGGCGTGGCGGCCGAACGGGGGCAGCAGAAGAGTGACCAGCTGAGGAGGAGCCCTTGGCTGGGCACCTCCTGCTGCCAGCAGCACGTGACGGTGAGCCAGGCTGAACAGGCAAGGGCGCCACAACACAGAGCCGGGGGCAAGGAAGCGGCTGGCCACTCGCCATCACCAAGGGAAGCATTGGTTTTGCCTCGTCTCCTGGAACATGGAGGCTGCGTGACCCCCCACTTCCTGACCTGGGAGCCAGTGACCAAGCTGGGTGCCCTGAGCCCCGCTGGGGCTTAGGACAAGGTGGGAACCAACATTTTTCTGTACAAATCCCATTTCTTAGAGTTTAAGAAACAGGAAATAATAGAACACTGGGGAATTCCAGAATCTAGTGTCCAAACTGGGAAGCAGTTGTGGCAGGGACCACTCCAGACAGCCGGGCTCCCGGGACTAACTCCGACCTTCCTGAACGCCTGCTGAACTGTGGTCGGACCCAGCAGCCACTCCACACTGCCCGGGGGGCACCTCCTTCCCCACACTGCCCGGGGGGCACCTCCTTCCCCACACTGCCCGGGGGGCACCTCCTTCCCCACACTGCCCGGGGGGCACCTCCTTCCCCACACTGGAGGTTTCCCAGCATGAACTGCTGCTTGAAAGGCATGGAGGACAGCCTGGCTTAACTTCACGGAAAAGAATCAATAATGATAAGTATGATTACATTACTCAGATTCACATCTTGATTTTACTTTCCAAAATGTCAATGAGAGAAGTTTAGCATTTCTTGCTCTAGAAACAAACTTATAAAATGATAAACCCTGATTATAAGGCTACATCATAACACATTTTAAAAATCCTTATGTTAGCCATGAGATTCTCACAAATTCAATGCCACGGAATCTTCTAGAAAAGCCAAGAGACGGTGCTAATTTCTGAACAACAGCATCCGCTCGGAGCATGCCTGGCCCACCAGGCTCGCGTACTGCAGCACGGCCGCCTCCTCGCTCGGGTCTTTCTGGTGCTTCCGGTAAACCCCGTAAGGCATGACGGTCTTCTTGTAAAACACCTGCAGGCGGTCAGCGTCCTTGCTGCGACCTTCATCCTCTGCAAGGACAAAAAGCCGGCTGAGTTACAATACGCTACGCAACCACGACGCTTCATGCTTAAAGTAAAACAACACTTCATTGGAAATAGAAATTTGTGAATGGAGATGTCCTGGCTGAACACTGCATTCAAGTCAGCTGGAGCTGTGCGGCACTGAGCGACCTGGACCCAGACAGCAACCTTGGTGAGGCATTAAGTCACAGCGCCCCACACTTGGGAGCGCAGGGAACTGCGTGCTCCAAGCGTCTCCCACACCTGGATGCGTCTCTGGTTTGGGCCACACTCCCTGTGCTCCTCAGCCTGGCCCACGTCTCCTTGGCCCCTCTGGGGGTCCATACACTCCCTGAAGCACTAACATAAGCTCTGGCCGACTCAGGTGTGGCGAGGACCTGGGTCTGGGCAACAGGTACTCTGATACTTACCGTATTCCACAGCATCAATACTAAACCCAGTGTAAAGCCTAAACAAACTCAAAAAGACCCTAGCAGATTTAAAACACTGAAAACAAATCATTATTCACTAAAGCAAAAAAAAAAAAAAAAAAAAAACAAAAAACCCCAAACAACTTAAGTTAAAAAAAAAACCAAACAAACAAAAAACACAACAAAACGCAATTGCTTTAGAACCGTGTTGCGCAGCCTCCCTGCTAGTGGCCATCATGGAGGCAGGCGGCAAGAATCCACATCATGGCACCCACAGCGCGCTTGCTGAGAGACCATCTGCTCGTGCAGAGAAGCCCCCAGCAGAGGCCCGGGAACGCGTCCCGAGAGCGAGCTCCGTGTCCCACACCTCTGCATCACCGTTTAACTTCAAGCACTGGAAGCCACAGGCATCCCAGGGCACCGAGACCACGCTGGGTCCCTGGTGACGCGAGCTTGCTGTCCACTCTTCCAGGGACGCTTGCTGGGAGGGGCGTCCTCCCCCCACTGCTGTTGCACCACGAGCCGCTCAGCACAGGTGCTTTCAAAGGAAGGGTCTGGACATCAAAGCCTGGCTTCTACTTTGGGGGATTTAACTCATCTGTTATTCTTAAAGAGACTTCCTAACTTCTCGGCTCTTCAAAAAATGATGAAACAATCTATTTTCCTAACTACATTATTTATTGCTACAGCTTTATTACATGAACATGAAGACAAGTTATGAACTTCAGTTTCTCATAAACGGCAGACACAGCCACACAGTCAGGCCAATCTGTATGCTGAGATTCAAAATTTTCCTACACAAAAAACCTGAAATGCTGAACAATGCATAATAGAGGTCGAGAAATGCCCCCAAAAATCAACTCTGGCAGCTTCAAGAATACAACAGAGCCTGCATTGCATTGACGGAGATGGGGAAGGTGCGGACAGGGAAGGATGCCGTGATGTGGCATGGGAGGCAGGGAACGCGGTTAGGACACACACCGCTCAGGCTGCTTGCCAGCCCGCAGTGGTGGAGGTTCAGAAATTACCCCAGGGATCCACCACGGAGAATCAGACTTTTATGTTTTAAAAAATGATTTATTTATTTAAAAGTCATAGAGAAGGGGCCCCGCACAATGGCCTAGTGGCTAAGTCTTCACCTTGCAATTGCCAGGATCCCATATGAGTGCAGGTTTGTGTCCCGGCTGCTCCACTTCCCATCCAGCTCCCTGCTTGTGGCCTGGGAAAGCAGCAGAGGACAGCCTAAAGCTTTGGAATCCTGTACCCACGAGATAAACCTGGAAGAAGTTCCTGGCTCCTGACTTCGGATCAGCTCAGCTTTGGCCATTGCAGCATGAACCAGCAGATAGAAGATATTTCTCTCTGTATCTGCTCTGTAAATCTGGCTTTCCAATTAAAAAAAAAAAATAGTCATAGGAAGAGAGGGGGAGGGGGAGGGTTCACAGAGGGAGAGACTTGGCGAGAGGAAGACTGGCTCACCCCCGAATGGCTGCAGCGGCCCAGGCTGAGCTGGGCTGCAGGCCAGGCGGAGCTAGGCAGGTGGCCCCCGCGGGTGGCAGGAGGCCAAGCCCTTGAGCCAGCTGCTGCTGCTTTTCCCAGGCCATTCACAGGGAGGCAAGTCAGAAGCGGAGCAGCTGGGACACAGACTGCTACCACGTGGGATGTCAGTGTCACAGGTGCCACATGCCAGCCCTGCAAATCACACATTCTCATCATGCTGAAAGAATTCTGCTTTTAGTATCTAGTATTTTCATCCAGAATATTTTTTTGGCAATAACAGAAACTAAGAAAAAACTAGACTTTGCTTATTTGTAAAAAGCTAGTGAATGTGGGGACTGAACCAAATGATGGCTGGTCTCTCTGAGTGAGCTTTCCCTTCCAAATAGTTTTTAAAAAAAAAAAAAGAATCTAAGGTTTTGTTCTGCACTAATAAATTTAACCCTACTAATTCTATTTTCAAATTATTTATTTATTTATTTTTAAAGATTTACTTATTTTTATTACAAAGTCAGATATTCAGAGAAGAAGAGAGAGAGAGAGGAAGATCTCTGTCCGATGATTCACTCTCCAAGTGAGCGCGATGGTCGGTCTGCGCCAATCCAGAGCTAGGAGCCAGGAACATCCTCCAGGTCTCCCACATGAGTGCAGGGTCCCAAGGCTTTGGGCCATCCTCGACTGCTTTCCCAAGCCACAAGCAAGGAGCTGGATGGAAAGCAGAGCTGCCGGGATTAGAACCAGCACCCATGTGGGATCCCGGTGTGTTCAAGGCAAGGACTTTAACCGCTAGGCCACGGCACTGGGCCCACCAATTCTATTCTTTCTGATGTTACTATAAGTGAAACGGTTTGCTTGGTTTTATTTGCTCACTGCAAATATACATGAATAAAACTGAATTTTATATATTCTTTCACCCAGCAATGCTGTTCAACTTTTATTCTATTTGAATAGCTTTTTAAATTCTCCAGGATTTCCTAGTACAAGAGCACGTCATTTATGCTCAGAATCAGGTTGACCACTTCCATTTTGGCCTGAACTTTTTTTCTTTTTTAATAATGGCTGCAGAAGTGAAATGTTTCTTCTGATTGTAATAAAAAGACTTTCACATGTCTATTCTGTATATTTTTGAGCTCTAATACTCTATCTTAAATATTTATTCTGGCATCAATCTCTCACCTTACCCTAAATGCTGCATTTAAAAATGGATTGCACTTTCCAGGCCTGGTGCGATGGCTCAGTGGCTAAATCCTCGCCTTGCATGTCTCAGGATTCCTTATTGGCGCTGGTTTGTGTCCCAGCTGCTCCACTTAGCACCCAGCTCCCTGCTTGTGCCCTGAGAAACGGTGAAGGACAGCCCAAAGCCTTGGGACTCTGCACTTGTGTGGGAGACCAGGAAGAAGCTCCTGGTTCCTGGTTTCGGATCGGTTCAGCTCAGGCCGTTGCACTCACTAGAGGAGTGAACCAGCAGAAACGGAAGATCTTTCTCTTTGTCTCTCTGTAAATCCGTTTTTCCAATAAAATAAATAAATCTTTAAGAATGCACTTGCTAATGAATGTTAGAAATCAGGCATGTCAAACAGTCTGACAAAGGGGAGTCCGGTTTGCACCTGTGCTGGTGTGGGCCTGAGGTCAGCAGGACCAGGCCACTTTCAGCTCATGTGCCCGGAGTTCAGTTCCTACAAAACAAGTGACCATGTAACTAGATGAACTGAGTAACGGGAGCCACAGTCCTCCATCAGGGAAGAGAGGCATGGACAGGAAAAGCAAAACCAACTCTACCACTGGGTTGGCACCGGAGCGCTGATGCCAGCTTAGATGCACGCAGTGCCTGCCTGCGTACGGACCCGTTATTCCTTACTATTGCCTGCTGAGGAGCCTCGCAAGCAATGAAGCTCTTACAGCAATGACGATGCATACTGCTCACATCTGACTTCCAAGTATCTTTCCCCGCTCGAAGGAACCAGGATTCTTTGCACAAGTGCCTAATGAAAGCGCTGAGTTATGGAGAATGCAGGCTGAGCTCGGAAGCACTGAGAACGACAGGGACGTATGCAACTCACGCAGGAGTCATCTCTAAGAGTCTGGACATCATGGACATTCAGAACACAGAGGAGCGGTTTCACGGCACAGACTAACACAGGCTTCCTTGAGAACACATCATGGAGAAGACACCGTTCCACGACAGCCAACTAGTAAGAACGGAAGGACTGGCAAGGCGGTGCAGCAGGCCGTCAGTACTTGCATGGCCAGCATCCCAGGAGCCCCGATTCATGTCCTTGTTACTCCGTGTCTGACCCAGCTGCCAGGCAAGGCAACAGCACGTGCCCCGAATGCGTGGGCCCTGGGCTCCCTGGGCGGTGACCTGGAGGGAGTTCCAGGTTTCAGGCTTCAGTCTGGTCACTGAGGCTTTTTGGGGAGCAAACCAGCAAATGGAAGATCTTTTGACCTCTCTCCAACTCTATTTTTTAGATAAACAAATGAATCAATAAGAAGAGGAGGAAGAAGAAACAATGTCATCTGGCAGTCATCTGAGCAAGAAAGAACTCAGGAAAGAACCGTGCACAGACATGAGATGCAACAGCCCCACGACCGACAAACAGGGTGTTCACATTAATCCAAGATATATTCCTATATGAATTACTGACATGTAAGAAAGACTTAATGACTTCACAGACGACAGGTCACTGGTGAGATGAACTGACGCTGTGTGCCTCCTGCTGTAACACACACAGCCTTGGGGCAGGGCCTGGTCCTGCCCTGTGTGCCGCTGCCCTCTCACCACCAGAGCGCTTCGGTCTGAGCCGCAGTCCTGCTTCTGCGTCCAATTTCCTGCCTCGGCAGGCTTTAGGAAGCCACAGATGGCGGCCCAAGACGCTGGGTGCCTGCCACCCTTCCGGGAGACAGTGACTGAGCTCCCAGCTCTAGCTTCAGTCTGGTCCAGTCCCAGACCATGTGTGCTGTCTCTTTAAACAAAACAGTAACAACAAACACCACAAGGCAGGCCCATGGTACAGTGGTTATGTTACCCCTTGGACACTGACATCAAGCACGTGGGTCCCTGCTACACACACACACACACAC